TGTGTATAAGAGACAGCTATATAACAAGAGAAAGATCCTCTCTTATTTCATGTGTAATAGGTGACAAAGCCAACTGAGGGGCAGTAGAAACCAACCAGCCAACCTTTCTTCCTCCAGACCCTCTTACTCTCCAGGAGGAAAAGAAATAAAAAGTTGTACAGTAAAGGTTATAGTCTATTAAATGAGAAGACCTCACACTAGAATGTGCAAGGGATCAGACAGTCCTCTCCTAATCCTCTATTTTCCTACTAAGGACCTTGAGTACATTTAAAAAGCTTGTGTCAAAGACAATGTGGCCAAGAAACCATTTCCCTTAATCCACTTGTCCTTCTGCATTCTGCAAAGAAATCCTATATTTGACTTGACCCTAAGGTGTCCTCCTGCCATTTGAGCAGACAGATGTAAAAGTACATGGACACTTCAGGACAGGCTGAAAGTGTCATATGCCCCCATGCCACATGGTCCCTCAAGCAGACTTGTGCCCTCATCCTCACTGAGGAAGAATGTGGGGATCACAGCTTTGCATGTATTGCCCTTAGTATGTTTTGGTATGAGAACTAAACTAAAGAAACTGAAACAAAAGTGGAGCGTTACCAAGGAAAGCAAAATACTGTCCTTGTCACAAACAAGATATCTGTTCTGTTATGTCTGTTCATAAACAAGAAACTGTTTGTAAAGAGGATGTCTCAAACAACTTGAGTGGATTGCCCTGTGGGAAGGGAGCAGAGCAAGCTCTGTGGAGGTGGGGCAGTGGGCCATTTTTTTCCCCCTCCCTCCTGTGTTGCCCAGAGACAGAACTTGCCTAACTGCACAGGTACAAGCCAGAGAAAATGAGAACCTTCTGGAACAGCCTACTGCACATGGATGAGAAAGTCTATGTAAAGGCAACACCCCCCACATGTGTCTTCGTCAACCCACCATCTACGGACCACGTTGCAACAATGCAGGATCCAAGGGTGATGATTTTCCTTTTCCTACCCCTTCCTCCTCTCTTTTGTCTTTCCTCTTTCTGCTCTCTCACTCTCTTACTTTTTCATGTGTATAAGTTTTGTAGGAGTTGAATTGAGATGATTGTTCATTGATGGGTTATTAGGAAAATAGTGCCTTTATTTGTTCTCCTGACAGTTATCAGTTGATTGTTGACAAATTGTCTCTTACTAAAGTGGTCAGTTAATAAATTCATCAGCACAGTTGTTCCTCTGAATCATTGTCATGACTCAGCCTGCCCTATGGCTCTACCAAGCAGAGACTGGCTCTTCCACCAGCACACAGGCTCTTGGGGAATTCAAAAGATTCACCCCCCTCATAACCCACGATGTGGGATGAGACAGTCCAT